ACCTCGCAAGTGATTTTCCTATCAAGACTAGTCTGTGGTGATTGGGGATCTCCAGTTCAAATGTGGCAGTAATACTTCATTTTGGGGCTAATCTGATTCTTTTAAAGATAGATAGTAGCAGAAGAATTCAGTACAAGGCCCAAGAGCCATTCAAGGTAGAAGAGTTACTGTCAAAATGATAATGATGAAAGACGTGTTTGATATAAATGTATTAGGAGGTGACAGGATTTAATGATAATGAGGATAAGTAGGATAGATAACGATTGACCTTGAAGTGGTCAAGATTGTAATGTAGGAAGCTGTTCCACAACTAATAATTCTTCAAGAAAAAAGGAATGAGGATGATTTCACTTCTTGGAAGCAGCATGATGTGTCTGTAAATGTCTGAAGTAGTAGAACTAAAGAATTGAGCATTTGAAAATGTTATGGTAATTTGCCCACGCAGGCATGGACTCTCCCAGCTATAAATAGGAGCAGGTACTGCCTTTTTGGAGAGGGAAGTTTCCATCAATCAGCTCTGACAGTCGGGCTGAACATTCTTGCCGTAACACTCTCGTTTGTATATGTTTGTATTACTGTTTCTGTTAATATATTTAACTCAATTCCTCCTTTGTGTCTTTATTTCTGACTCTAACAAGGCCATAACGGAACATTTGCCATGGAAATAGCGATAGAATAATATTTCCCCCACAAGACAGCATAAAAGATTCTGAGCTCTTTCAAGTCTGAGAAGTGAGGATTGAGTAGCTCCAGCCCAGACACGGCAGCAATACACCATTTTTGGTTTAAACTGAATCTTGTAAAGATAAACGCGTGGCTAGTGTCAGGTAATTCCTGGAGCGATAGAATAAGCCTACCATTTTCCCACGATCTTTAACACCGGATTGTATACCTGAGCTCCACCTCAGATCTGGAGTGAACTTGAGATGTTCAAGGCATGGAGCCTCAATAAGGATTCATCGCAATTCTCAGAGGGTCTGGAGAGGATACAGGGTCAGATAATGAAATGATTATGTTAGAAATACTTCATTTTTGGTCGAATCGGAATCTTGCAAAGACAAATAAATCATGGGAGAATAAGTCGGTACAAGGCCCAAGAGCCACTCAAGGTAGAGAGTTAGATCATATTTTGAATTAATATAACTCTTGTAAAGATAAACCATGACAGAGAGTGTCAGGTACTTTCCAAACAATTTTCCAGAATCTTTAGTAATGGAGTGTATGTGTGAGTTCTACTTGAGATCTTGAGTGAATTTGAGACCGAAGAAACGTTCAAAGGTTGAGACTTTATTGAAACTACAAACCGTTTATCGCGATTAGAGAAGTCTGGGGATCTGACCGGTGATGATAAAACGACGTTATATTGAATTAGAAAACTGTATACAGTGTTGTTCATGATGATGGTCGTCTTTGAGTATAGAATCCAGAGGTTAGCAGTGAATATTTCGAAGACAGTAGGGAAGCGTAGTTCAGGTTAGCAGTAGATATCCCGGTAAAGTAGCAGAGCGTAGTTATTCCTTCTGTACCTCTTCACCTGACAAGCTGGCATTGGACATTCGGATAGAGTAAACAAAATGGCCGCCTTTATACACGACGGATTGAATATTTTACGTCTTCTGATTGGTTAACCTTCTATTGGTGGACTATAAAGTGAGTCAAGTCATTTGGGCTAACTGACTAGTACATAATGTATCCAAAAATTGTAACATACAGACCCCGCACGAATATACTGCAAAATTTACAAACCATTTCCTACGGCGCAATGAATAAGTTAAACTGTAAAAAGGAGAGTAATATTTTGGTAAATAAACTCATCTTCTTTCTTACAAATGGAGCAGGTCCTTTCCGATAAATAGTGACAGGTGCACTTTTGGTAAAGCATAAAGCTTTCTTCCGACTTCTTCCGTTGTTTCTTGTGGAATAAATGCAAATATCTTTTGTTAACCAGTTTCTTCTCCAAGACATGTTAAATTATCTCTTGCTGTTAGTAATCGAAGTTTATTTTCACAAAAATTTTCGTACTGCAGGAAATCAGACGGAGAACTGATTTTTAATATTTGTAACAGGATATACTTTGTTATATTGTTGTTTTCTCCTCCAATGCTGGGAAATGTGAACAGACCATCCCCCAGCCCAGATATGGCATCAATACTTCCTTTTTTGGCCTAATCTGTCTCATGTAATGATAAATTATAGAAGGAGCCAGGAACTTTCTGGAGCGATAGAATGAGCCGACCATTTTCGCGTCATCTTTATCACATTGAATGAGTTCAATTAGTGATCTGGAGTGAACCTGAGAACCCCCCCCCTCCAAAAAAAAAACGTTCAAAGCAGGGAACATCATTGAGACTATAGACATTCATCGTAACTGGAATAAACTCTCGTTCCGATCAGTGATGAAGAAACGATATCAGTTTGCGTTAGAGAAGAAAACTGTAAACAGCCCCTGTACGGAAATTATACGATACGAAGCATTTCCAACGACCCGATAAATATCTTAAACAGTAAAATGGAGAGTAATATTTTGGTAAATAAAGTTATCTCCTTCCTTACAAACGGAGCGGGTTCTTTCCGATAAATAGTGACAGGTGTATTTTTGCTAAAGTGTAAAGATTTACCCTGTCATAAATCGTTGTTTCTTGTGAAATAAATGTAATTTTTTTTCTGTTACACAGTTTCTTTATCTCTTTACCAAGGCATGTTAAATTTTCTCGTTGTTAGTAACATGTTAATAACGGGATACACTTTGTTATATTGTTGTTTTCTCCACCAATACATGAAAGTGAGGATAAAGTAACTCCAGCCCAGATATAGCAACAATGCTTTCTTTGTGGGCCAAATCTGTTTCTTGTAACGATAAAGTATAAGACTCAGGTACTTTCTGGATCGATAGAATGAGTCGACAATTTTTAACACCGGATTTTATATATGCGTTCTACTAGAGATCTAGAATGGACGTGCGACCCGACAGACTCTCAAAATATGGAGTTTCATTTACAGTTCATCGTGACTGGAGAAAACTTTGGTTCTGATCGATGATGAGGAAAGAAACTGATTCGCCTTAGAGAAAGAAAACTGCATACAGACCCACTACGAAAATAATAGAATAGTTACGAAACTTTTCCTTCGACGCGATAAATAATTTAAACAGTAAAAAGGAGAGTAATATTTTCATAAATAAAATCATCTCTCCATTTTTGTAAAGGAAGCTAGTTCTTTCTGATAGTGATATGTGCATAAATCTTTGTTTCTTGCTGATTGAATGTAAATTTATTCAGTTTCTTTAATTTAATGTTGAGGCATAAATAATTTCTGTATCTTTTATCATCTTTATTCTTAAAAAATAAGTACAATTACATTTTATTCAATTATACATATTCACCATTATTTGTAATGACTTCTTGCAATTTATCAGGTAGGTCTTCGATACCTTTTGATTAAGATTCCGCGGGTTTTGACGTCAAAGCTTTCGACGAACTCTTGAATCTTGTTTTCATCAGAGAAAGTTTTCTTCAGCAAAGCGTTTTGCATCGGTCGAAAAAAGTAATAATCGATTGGTGCGATGTCAGCCGAATATGGTGGATGCGGGTTGAAGAGACCAACCGAGTTCCATTTTCCTGTATTATTCTTTCCGCGTGCTGCATTTTTTCTTAAACCACTCTATATGCTGCCATTAGTGTAATCTAAATTTATTCTTCTCTGCCACCAACGACATTGTTTCACTCCCAGTAACCCCTTTGTGTCTTAGTGACATTATCATTTTACTTGATTAAAAAATGCTAATCGCAAAGTTCTATCTCCTTAAGAAAAACTTACAACCTGTTTTTTCTCCTCACCAAAGTTTTCTCATTCTCTTTCATTCCCAGTAACCCCTTCTGTTATAGTGGCATTATCGCCATCTTCAGTTTTCCTGAAACCTGTTCTTTTATTGACTTTTCTCTTCACTAAATTCTTCTCATTCTCTTTCACTCCCAATAACCCCTTGCGTCTTAAGGGGATTATCGCCATCTTCTGTCTTTCTGAAACCTGTTCTTTCATTGTCATTTCTTCTCACTAAATTCTTCTCTTTCATTCCCAGTAACACCTTGAGTCTTAGTGGCATTATCACCATCTTCTGTCTTCCTGAAACCTGTTCTTTTATTGTCCTTTCCCCTCACTAAAGTCTTCATTCTCTTTCATTCCCAGTAAACCCTTGCGTCCTAGTGACATTATCGCCTTACTAGGGGTGAATTGATTAAAAAGATATTTTTACTTTAAACGCTATATTTAGTGGTTATATGTTTATCTTTGTTTGAAGCTGACCCCCCACTATATAGATGAGACCAGCATATGTTGTGACCTTGCCAAAGGACTCATATCCTTTATTAAGTACTTTCGAAATACTAGCCGGTAGACTTCAATTACACTAATTAAAAAGAAGAGATGTCTACTCAAACACGTGCATCCACTAAATATAAATAAAAATTCAGTAATTCCTTAAAAACTAGGCAGGTATGTCTAGTGTATGTTTGCTTTCCTTCTTGTTTATATTAGAGTCGAATAATTCATCACTCGCGGCTTTGTGGGTGATGAACTGTTTTCCTCCCTTCAATACCTTCCCTACAGACGAACTACATTCCTTGTTTCCACCAGTCCAAATCATCACAGCTAGGACACTGTGTCGACTCAGACTCTTTCGCTTCATATTCCATTAGTAAGGAGGATGTTCCACTCAAACAGCTTCTTCCATAGAACTGTTGCAATGTGAGACGGACTCTTTAGGGGATGCTTATCTGATCGCTACAAGTTTAATGTGTCGATCATCAGTCGTTATCTGTTCTACATAAGTATAAAACTCTCCTATACGCCCTTAGAGCATCCCATTCAGTAACCCTCTACTTTGAGTGGCACTTAAGCTTTGTATCGGGTGAACAATAGTTTAAAAAAAAGCTTTTTCATGACTGTGTTACGATATATCTAAATTGTCTGTTTCAATCTAATTCCAGGATTTTTATGCTTACCAAGGCCAAGGCGTCGGCAGCAGCGGCCTTCGATTGCACATCGGACCCTTTACAACATTCGACCGTAAATCGGCGACCCTGATGGAGAACTGCGCTGTGAAGTTCCACTGTGGATGGTGGTTTCGAACCTGTGTACGCAACAGTAATCTGAATGGACGGTACTACCAAGGCGGCTACATGATCGCTAAAAATAAGACACGTTCGCACGACGACATCTACTGGTATAGTGTGGAGCAGTCGCTTCGGCGAACTGTGATGAAGATACATCGGATAAGCAATGCGCGGGCAAAAACGTCCAATTACAATCCTTGAAGACTGTGACGTCACGCGCTTACATATACGCACGCATAGACAAGTATACGCAACATTCATATAGAAGATATAACTGTTCAACAACTACCTACACATAACAAAAATCTGCGTAAATATAAAATAGCCAAAAGGAACAACAGACTAACTTTATATATATATATATATATATATATACGAATATAAAACTGAATAGATAGGTTGACTATTAAAACGAAAGGGTACAGACGAAAAATATGGATTAATTACATTGCAGAAATGAAGCATGGAAATGAAGGTTCCAAGTCAGGAATTTTCGGGCACGCCTGTGTCCTTCATCAGCGGATGCGAGAAATAAAGGGAGAGACGGAGGAGACTCACCAACAGTTGTTCTTGAGGCCGGTGAGAATCCTGGTGTAGATGATATTAGTAGTAAAAATCCGATCTCCATCTGATTCCTCGCTGTGCGAAAATTTTTGTGAAACTTAGATTAAAAAATTGGAATTGGTATGAACGTGTTAGGCCGTATCACAAAAAGTTTCGCATAGCGAATAATAAGACGGAGATCGGATTTTTACTAACAGTACTATCTACACTAGGATTCTCACCAGCCTCAAGAATAACTGTTGGTGAGTCTCCCCCGTCTCTCCGTTTATTTCTCGCATCCGCTGATGAAGGACACAGGCGTGGCCGAAAATTCCGAACTTGGAACTATCGTGCTTCATTTCTGTCATGTGGTTAATAATTAATAAACGTTTTTTCTTATGATCACATCGGTACCCTTTCGTTTGCTTTGTTTTATTAGCCAACCTATCTATTCAATTTCATAAAGTATATGAAGCATACGTGGACTCTTTCTTCTAATCAGTATACGAATATAAATATACATATATCAGAGATACATATTTATATACCAAGGTAAATCATTAAGTCTGTAACCTGACGTGTAGTTATTAGCTGAATTTTGATCTGAAATTTTCACTGTATAAAGTTTAATATTCATTACTGAATAATGTGTATTGAAAAATGTGATGATTATGTTAAAAAACAAATATTTGTTGTGTTTTTTTTTTGTTTTTTTTTTATAGATAGGCTACGGACTTATTGATTTATCTGCGTAAGTGTTTGTATGCACAAATATTAATGAATAAGCACTTTAAATTTACATACAATTCCAATAATCCTAAACCCCCAAAGATCACCCAAACAAAATTTTCCCTGATAATATAATATCTGTTAATAAACAGAAAAAAATGTGAGTTCTATAACATATAAGCAAATACCCGTATACTATATATATATATATATATATATATATATATATATATATATATATATATATATACTTTCTGTACGTTTCGGGTACAAAACCGAACAGATATGGGCTTTCGAGAAGAATATCTTAATTAAGAAGTGTGCTCTCCTAACAGAAGAGGAAAAAACTTACTGGACTGTGATGCTCGCTGTAGCCGAAGGTAAAAGCACGCCAGATCAAAAAGTGGTTTCTCCTACAAAGGGGGACGAAAATTTGATCACTGTCGGAGAGCACATTTTCTTTATTAAAAGTTCTCGAATATGAAGACCCATAGATATAATACACACTGTTTAAAATAAAACTTGGGCGTCTGTTTCAAATACAAGTATCGACTATGATAATGCCTGAATTAATATATATATATATATATATATATATATAGGGTGGTGCAAATATGTGGCTCATAATCGAAACAAGTTTTAGGATTGAAATTTAATTTAATCAATATTTAAATTATTTTTAAATAAGACTCTACTCCAGTATTTACAATAAACGTTCGAATTGACGGACAAGTCGGTCAGTTTTCTTTTAATAGTTTTTTTTTCTTCCGTACTTATCGTATGTGAAAAATCCCTTCCGGATTCTTGCCTCCCTGTCAACTACAATGTTCAAAAATGTAAATGCAACGTCAATCATCATTTTCTTTCTTCCTGAATACTGTCCTTTTATTGTCCTTTTCCTCACTTCCCACTAAAGTCTTCTCATTTTCGTTCACATCCTGTAATCCCTTATCTCTTAGTGGCATTATTACCTTGCTTGAGATGAAATGATTAAAAAAAAAGAAAAACTATAATCACTGGCGGAGCATGGGTTACCAGCACTCACAGTAAAAGTACTACACCTACTAACCAGTTTCTGCTGCCTTCATTCAGTCCAGTATTGAACCACACCTCCAAGTGTATGATTCTATTTTAAGAAAACACTGATTTTATTAAAGCGACACGAATATAATGTCAGTGTAGTAAGACTTATTTAAAATGGCCGTCTTGTAATTAGTGCAACAACATTACAATCTATATTTAAAAATGTTTCCCATTTGACAAGAATGAGAGGTAACACAGTTTTTCTAGGCTTAACGTAAACCTGGTATTTGAAATAGTGATATTTTTAATTCTTATTACTACAGTCCGACCTCATTAATCCGGAAGCATTTGGACCAGGCCAATGGTGGATCATAGAAAATGATAGATGACAGAAATCCCCCAGATCATATATATTGCTGTGTTATCAGAAAGAGAATGAGAAAACTAGAGGACATCAGAAACCCAGTCCTAAAAAAGAAACAAGGGATACTCTACTCCTGTTCAAAAGACGTCCATACTCCTTCCCCGTTTTTTGAACATAAGTAGAGGTTTATCCCTTTTCCTGTTTAGGAGTGAGTTTCCGATTCCTTTTAAAGTCTTCCCATTCCCTTTCACTCCCAGTAAACCCTTTGCGTCTTCGTGGCTTTATCGCCTTGCTTGGGGTGAAATGATTTTAAAATGCGTAAAACAGGAAATAAAACAACCACTAATACTTCCGAACAATTTTTTTTTCTTATATAGTTTCATGCCTATACAAAAGCTAAAACGACACTAAAACCAAAAAATAATATATACTTACTCTCCTGAATGGATAAATATGCTGCTATATATAAGAACTGGGCAAGACCGTATCACCAAAACACACTGCTGCTGTGGAAAGTTGTAAACAAGGTGTGGCGCTACCCTCGTAGCCGACCAACGAATTAATGGTGGCTCATTAAAATAAGTACCAGGCCATGGGAGTTGTAGGACCATGGAGTTTAAAGAGATCGAACTCTCCTTTAATTTCCTTTTGAAATGTTGCGCCCTTAAGGAATTTCCAACAAGGTCTGATGACTTGACTCACGCTACACCTGTCTATTTCTGTAGCGAAATAGTATAACACGTCAGATCAAATAACGGTTTCCGTAAAGGAATAGAGGTTCCATTCCTGTCGGAGAACACATATTTTCTACGATATTTCTCGAACAGTCATGCTGGTAAATATAATTAATAATGTTTAATTAAAACAAAACAGAGAATTTACTTAAATAAATTTTATCTATAAAAAATAAAGTATAAACAGTATATATATATATATATATATATATATATATATATATATATATATATATATATATATATATATATAATGCTCAAACCTAATATTCTATGGTTATAATTCATTACATTGGAATCGTAATCGATCCAATTCATCGAACCTACAAATTCAAAAAGAAAAGGATTTCGTTTTGAATTTGTAGGTCTGATGAATTGATCGATTTACGATTCCAATGTAATAAATTATAACCATGGAATATTATTGTTTGAAACATTTTATATTATATTCTTACTCTGTCCTGGACATTGAGTTATACGTGGATTCGATCCTCTTGGGAATATATATATATATATATATATATATATATATATATATATATATATATATATATATATATATATATATATTTTTCTAATATCATATATATATTAATTTAAAAATTATAGCATAGGTATGTTATAACATCACCACAAAAATAGTCATTTTGTTTCAACATGTCTGGTGTCTTGTCATGGTGATGGTGTTGATTAATCAACACCATCACTTGACAAGACACCGGAGACGGATATGCAATGTGGTTGGCCCTGATCTAGCATCTCGTTTACAGTCGCTCTCTCACAGACATGCTGTCGCCTCCCTCTGTCTTTGCTACAAATACTTTCACGGTAACTGCTCGGACGAGCTACTTTCGCTATTTCCCAAACTGCATGAATTTAAACCTGCTACTAGGTTGGCATCTCAGACCCACTGTCGAAACGGTTAAATGTAGCCGTCTCTTCTACTTCAATAGTTTCATGCCTCGAACTTCCTGTCTGTGGAACACCCTTCCTCTTACTTGCTTTCCTGATAGCTATAATTTCCATCTATTCAAATGCAATGTCAATCAATATCTCCAGATGCTTTGATCTATTCCCCGTCCATCCTTTCCTCTACACGCCTCTTTATTCTTGCTCCCACGCTCTGTAACCCCTTGCGTGCTAGTGGCACTCTCGCCTTGCTTGGGGTGAAAAGCTTTAAAAAAAAAAATATATGTATGTAGGTATGTATTATCACTTTAACATTTTCTACTGGCCTGAATATTCGAGAAAGCTTATTAGAAAAAAATTTACTGGAGAGCGCGTATTTTGTCTTTTTTAAAGATTTCTAAAATATTCAGGCCTGTAGGCGAAAATAAATAAATATACTGTTTAATAGATAAACGGAGCATCTACTCAAATATGAGTATCCCCTAAAAATAACGTTTAGATTGATAAAATTTGTCAGATTAATCAATGAAAAATCCATTACTTCTTCAGAAACTTGTATTTATATTTAATATATTTTCCGTTTATACGTTCTTTTAATAGATACAATTTATTTAAGCAAATGCTCCTTTTTTAAATAAACAGAATTAATTACATTTACCAGCCTGAATGTTCGAGAAATTTCGTAGAAAATATGTGCTTCAACAGGAATTTAACCTGTAACCCCAATGAGAACACATTATTTGATCTGTGCTGCTAACCATTCAATCACAAAGGAGCGTCTGGCTAGCAAAGTCCGAATTACTGTTTATGAACAACAAATCTTCGATTAATAGTTTATTTCTTAAAAAAATACGGAGCATTTACTTAAATAAATTGTATCTATTAAAATAACGTATAAATGGACAATATATTAAATAATTGTTGGAATATTATATATATAATCGAAAAAATTAAAGCAA